CAAAATCCAAAGTCGGCCGCTAATGTCCTAAATTCAAAATCGGCCACTAGGGACCAAAATCCATAATCGGCCACTAATGTCCAAAATTCAAAATTGGCCATAAGGTTCTAAAATCCAAAATCGGCCCCTAGGATCCAAAATCCAAAATCGCTCACTACTGTCCAAAATTCAAAATCGCCCACAAGTGTCCAAAATCCAAAATCGGCCACTAGTGTCCAAAATTTTAAATCCAAAATCCAAAATCGGCCACTAATTTCCTAAATTCAGAATCGGCCACTAGGGTCCAAAATCCAAAATCGGCCACTAGAGACCAAAATCCAAAATCAGCTACTTGGGTCCAAAATTCATAATCGGCCACTAGTGTCCAAAATCCTAAATAAACCATTAGGCTCCAAAATCGGCCACTAGGGTCTAAAATCCAAATTTTTCAAAATCGGCTACTATGATCTTAAATCGGAAATCGGCCACTAGGATCCAAAATCCAAAATCGGCCGCCAGGGTCCAAAATCTAAAAATCTCAAATTCAAAAACTCAAATTCGGCCAGCAGCATCTAAACTAAAAAATTGACTAGGCCAGTAGGGTCCTAAATCTCTAATGGGATATTCCTTTAGTTCTAGCTTGACACTTAAGAAGACAGCAAAATACGTGAAACACCTGACAGTCATTTCAGGATGGCGCGTTATCAAAAAAAAATATTTTCCTCGCAGAAAAATCTTAATAGATCTGATCGGGGCATCTTTAAAACTTCGCGGAAAGATTTTCACCGTTTGAATCAGCAGAGTAAAACCGTTATTGGGGACTAACGGATAAAGGAACAGTTAGATTCTTGAGCTAGGCCCTATGTAGAAAACGTAAATTAGCATTTCTACTGTTATTATTATTATTAGTTTTGTCATCATGATTATTTGTCACTATATAATCTTTGGTGGAATATAAAGTAGTCTCTATATATTTGAATCATCTTTCCCTTGTGGAACAGGGCACTCATAAATGTGTGGGGTGCAGCTGGTTTTCTGTTTTGCAAGTAAATACAAATATTTTGCAGCACTACCTTCTAGCGTCATTAGACAACCTCTAGTTATTTTCAATGCTACATGCAGGCTTAGACTGCCCATTTGTATCCCTTTGTGATTTTTTCGTAAACAGCGTGTAGAGTATTCTTACCCGTGAAGCTTCTGTGCGGAGCACGAAAGCGGAGCCCAGTAACGAAGGGAATACGAAAACCCATTAGGTCGAGATATTTTGATGGGCGGAAGTCAGCCACGTGCGGGTGCGCCTGCATGCGAAACCGTATTTTGTCTACGCGATAGACTGCATTGTGGGCTCAACGTGAGGCAGTTCTTGTGGTTAGTAAATACTGGAACTTATAAAAACAAATAAAAGAAATCAAAGTAAACAAAGCGCATTAAATATGAACTAATTTGAGCTCAGCTCTTTAGCTCCGCTAAAATATTTATACCAGTCATATTTAATTAATTGAAAATTAATTGCACTTTGTTTCCTACGGACTAAATTTTTGGCAGTAATTCACAAGGAGCACCAACTTTTCCAAAATAGTCAAGACCGCACAGTTATAAGTTGACAGCATATCATGTTTACCAAAATCATTTGCAATTTTTGTTTGTTCGGAGAAACTCATATTTTTGAGTTTGTCGTTTAATAAGCATATCTACAGCTCTAAAACTACTTCAGGGAGAAGAGTTCTTTAATATAATTTGATTTTATCTCATTAAAGAAAAACGTATATGAGGACACATAGGCGTTGAACGACTTTCAAAGAAAGAGTGACCAAACCTCTCGGAATCGTCTTTAAAGGTGTTAATAGGGACCTTAAGCAAACCACGACAGCGACGGCAACGAGGACATGGAAAAACAAAAGATTCAATTAGCAGAACAATATCTCAGCACGTGCGTTTTAAAACTTTGTACATTTCTTAGCCGTCCTATGCAAAACAGTAACGTGAAATCACCACAATTTGCGTCTTCTGCGAACCGAAACCGCGATGGCCAATTATTTTAATTTCCATTTGGAACTCAATGCTTCTATTGTACGTTATGCTGAAGTTGAGGTGTGGCGCCGTATGAGACGGTAAACACATGCAGCCATTTTTGAAATTCTAATTGAAGGCAGAAATTCATTATTCAATCGAAGTCTTCCTTGGTGTTGCCGTCCTGACCGCTTAAGGTCCCTAGTAATTTGACTATGTACGCCGCCGTCTTTGATACTTAGCGGCTTGGCCAGGTACCTTTAAAACAAGATTTTGTCAATTTGTCAATTCTTGGCGATCTGTTAAACAGTAGTAAGGTAAATAATAATATATTATAACAGACGGGTAATTAGTGATCCTGATTCTATGCGTCAACAATGAATTTAGCGATAACCAGAAAGCAGCTGTTTGAAATTATAAATTGCGCGTTGGGGTTTTGCGTGTGCAGCCAGTTAATTGGATTGGTTTTCAAAATGGTCTTTAGTAAAATTTTCGATGAATTTGAAGAAAATTTGATGACGATCTCACACTTTGGAATCTTAAACTGCAGCAAGTAGTGAATTTGTAAAATAATTTTATCGTTTAAATCCTAAGAGTGACTAGCATCTAATTTCTCCTCACAGTAATACTGCTGAATCATTGAATAGGGTCATGAGCATAACGGAAAAGATCGCCAACCTAAGAAGCTTTGATCTTCAAATAAATTCTCCTTGTCAGTACCAAAAGAAACAGATTGAGTCGAGTATGAGGAATGTGGATACTGATGCTGGGGTGTAAAGGATTAAAGACAGAAATAAATATAACAGATAGAGTCTATATTCTATCTTACATTATAGAGAAGTCTTTGAATTCAGATTTAATACTCTAACAAGAAAAGCGGTTTATTAAAACCTTCAAGTGGAAGTTTCTGTTAATCTATTGACACATCAAAAAAATTTGTAGAAAATGAGAATGTTTTTTGTTTGATCTTGAATAAGGTAAGAATTAGCCGGTTTGAAGTTTTATTTGGATTAACCACGCAACTCTGTCAAGGTAAACCGGTTTAGATAAATTTATTCTAAGATGCAAACTCCTAATACACACATAAGTTAATTCTTAAGACAAAAGCAGGGTACCATACGTTTCGTCTTAGTGAAAATTATTTTGCATAAACGCAAGACACCTTTGTTCCCTAAAGTATCATGTCCTTTTGTTTTCGTTTAAAGCATGAAATCCCTCTGGACAACTGAAATAAAGTAAACTGCGGTAGCATAGACAATTCAATGTTTTTTAACAATACGAAGGGTACGGCGGAAACTTATTAGCACTTTTACCATTGAGTAATTATTTTTTCGGGTCGCTATAACAACTATTGAAAACAAACTTGATAACAGACCTCTTAAAAGAGAGAATTTAGATTCAAACTGCAGGAGATAATTTAAATAACTTAGGGTCTTTGATTCGCTCATCAAAACAAATAACCGAGAACAATTTTTCACCGTCGTATATCGGTGCGTATGTATATCTAATCATTCGTGGAGGATTATCGAGGTTTACAACGAAGAACAAACAGCAAAAATGAGTTCAGATGTTGTTAAAGCGGACGTTGACACTCCAAAAGATACGAAAGCGGATAAAGCGGCTAAAAACTTAAAACCGACGAAAGGGAAAGAGCTGACGCCTGGCACGTCAAGTAAAACTCGTCCTCCAAGCACCGTCTCTGTTACTCAATCGATGGCTACGTCGTTTTCAAGACAAGACGGCCGACGCGTGCCCGAAATTGCCATGGAGAACACATTTAAAATGACACCTGATCGGAAATTTCCCGAGGGCGACGTTCGCTCCATACTCAAGGAAATTCTAACGGAGAGGCTGGCGGAAGCAAAGTACGATGCGGATCAGTGCAGGCAGCTTTCCAAAACAATTTCTGACACGGTGAAAAACCGCGTGAAGGATTTAAACATTCAGCGTTACAAGATTATTTGTCTTGTGCACATTGGACAGCTGGGGAATCAAGCAATGCGCATCGGAAGTAGGTGTCTTTGGGATACAAACTACGACACATTTGCTTCGTTTGAATTCACAAACGGGTCGCTCTTTGCGACCGCTACGGTTTATGGCGTTTATTTTGAATAGTGCACTGATTAATTTAACGCAGGGAAATAATTACAGACCATTTTATGTTCATAAAACCACGTTTGTGATGAGCTCTGTAGCGTGTCTCAACGACCAAAAAGAGCGGCGTAAAAATTAGATTTAAAAGCGTTTTAAGATAATATAAATTGTAGCATTTACGTATCTTTAGACCGATCGTTTCTACTAAATTTTAATATAATTCACCTCTACATGTTTTATTTGATCACCTAGTAACATTCCATTGAACTATTGTAACTCTAATAAGTTTATTTATTTATTTTACAAGTACTTGTGAATAAAGTTATTGGAGCAAGATCTTAGGTTCCACTCAGGCTGATTCTAAAAGTAGTTTCGATCCTACATTGATCGTAAGTAAGAGGTAAAAACAGGATGCACTGATTCTTAGACTAGTTACGGGAGGCAAATTTAGACGTGGCTCTGGGGCCGAGAACCTCTAATACGTTGACAAACGTTGACAAAACCTTTGTTGTACATGCGGGTTAAACACAAGCTTTGTGATCGATTAAATATTTGTACATGTTTTTGTTGCTGTTTCTTAACGCGTCTGGAAAGCACAGTATAGATTAATCCGAAACTCCTCTGACTCATTTGATCTGCGGTGAGTTTAACCAACTTCAGGAAAAAGCCTGAAAAAAATTGAGGCTTTGACGAGATTCGA